CAGCCTACACTTGAGTAGGACCCTGGCAGAGACACATGCCTGACTGGGATGTTCTCTTCCTCCGGATCATTCATTCGGGAGCTTCAAAAGCTTTCTTCAGCCCAAACATCACAGCGACCGATGCCAACCGACACCGGCACACTTAGGGATCCGCAGAGTTTGCGCAACTTGCGTGACAGACCTCAGCAACTCAGCATTTTGGTTAATCTACTTTATTTACATATAGACACACACGGAGCACTGAAACATGGCTCCCTCTCTCTAGCATCAGACAGCAAAGAGAAAAAGAACAAAGGACAATAGTTCCACTTCACAGAACACAGTAACACAAACATCCTGTTTCCGTCACTTCCCACTCTGTGGAATCAAAACATATACCGTCATGTGATAGACAAAAATCCCATGACTGCAATCGTGGAGCAGAAATTCTAACAGTTCTAAGGCTGCTCTTTCGGTACAAGGTCATTGGGAGGTTCCAAACTATTACTGGGCAAGTGGGGCTAGTCAACCTAGGTAGGTAGCCCATCTAAGAAAAGGAAAACTGATCTTAAACCTCCGCTGCCTTATGGGACATCTTTGGGAGAAGAAAATGCTAAGAAGAAAGCCCCATACAAATCTAGAGTGGAGTCCCTAAGACGTTTGGATGGCATCTTGTACAACTACTTTTGGCAACTTCCGCAGCCAAGCTGGTGCCAAACGTACCAGGGTTTCTAACAATGATGACAGGGCTGGGTGTTCATCAGTATTCAGATGATACCCTACCTCTCTTTTAAATCAGAACCAGTGAAGGCAGTGAATGTCCTATGCGAGTGTCCAGAGGTGGTTGGAGGATGGATGACAGCTAACAGATTGAGGTTGAATCCTGACAAGACAGAAGTACTGTTCTTGGGGGACAGGGGGCGGGCGGGTGTGGAGGACTCCCTGGTCCTGAATGGGGAAGCTGTGCCCCTGAAGGACCAGGTGTGCAGCCTGGGAGTCATTTTGGACTCGCAGCTGTTCATGGAGGTGCAGGTCAATTCTGTGTCCAGGGCAGCTGTCTACCAGCTCCATTTGGTATGCAGGCTGAGACCCTACCTACCTGCAGACTGTCTAGCCAACATGGTGCATGCTCTAGTTATCCCCCACTTGGACTACTGCAATACACTCTATGTGGGGTTACCTTTGAAGGTGACCCAGAAACTACAACTAATCCAGAATGCGGCAGCTAGACTGGTGACTGGGAGTGGCCGCCGAGACCACATAACACCGGTCTTGAAAGACCTAAATTGGCTCCCAGTACGTTTCCGAGGACAATTCAATGTGTTGGTGCTGACCTTTAAAACCCTAAATGGCCTCGGCCCAGCATGTCTCCACCCCCATCGTTCAGCCCAGACACTGAGGTCCAGCGCTGAGGGCCTTCTGATGGTTCCGTCGCTGCGAGAAGCCAGGTTACAGGGAACCAGGCAGAGGGCCTTCTTGGTAGTGGCACTCGCCCTGTGGAACACCCTCCCATCAGATGTCAGGGAAATAAACAGCTACTGGACTTTTAGAAGACATCTGAAGGCAGCCCTGTAGCCAGAAATTTTTAATGTCTAATGTTTTACATTTTTGTATGTGTTGTAAGCTGCCAAGAGTGGCTGGGGAAACTCAGCCAGATGGGTGAGATATAAATAACAAAAGAAGAAGAAGAAGAAGAGGAAGAAGAAGAAGAAGAAATCCAAACTGATGCACAAAACACTGGGAATGTGTTTGCCTTTTATTTTAAAGGTGTCTAGGCAATTCAATCTCTGTGTCAAGTGTTGCTGAAGTCTGCAGCCTATATATTTTATGCAGATCAATGATACACACTTAATGATGCTTATTCCGCTCGCAGCTTTGAATATTTGGGCAAATCTTGCATAGTTTATTCTTGCCAACATCGGGAACAGGACAGAGCTGTGCTGGACACCCCAAACATTGCACATCACAGTCCCCCGCCTCTCTGGCTTCTCATATTTTCACCTGCATTGCTCACACGTGCTTTCAATCATATCTTGGCTGGCACAGGGTCTAGAAAGTTGCTTTGTTTAAACAACAAAACTAAAATTCCCAGGCATCTAATTCCACATGCAAGCCTCATTCTGCACTCCTGTGGAGCCACAGTGTGCCCACAGCTCTGAATTAGACTTGTTTTCTCAAGGCTGGAGAGTTTATTCATCTGATTCACCTGCACACAACTCCTTATACATGGCACCAAAACCTAAAAGGTGACAGATTCGTTGTTTTACCTTTTCATTCATTTCCTCCCTGAGGTCCATTCCAGATGTGGAGAGACCCATTTTCTAATAATTGATCCTCGCTGCGCTTACCAAGGTATTCCTTTGGAAATGATTTCCTTTCTACATTAATTATAGTTGGACTTGGCAGTGCGCGCGCGCACACACACAATGCGCCTTCATTAAGAGCCACATATGTTGCACTACTATTAAAGGCAATGCCGTTACCATCACCTTGAAGATATCACAGCATGGGCTCCAGAAACCAAAGCTAATGAGTCTAAAGTGGGTAGTTATTGTTTGCTTATGCGCCTTAATGGTTCCCGTATGAGCAGTCCTGATGGATTCCTGCGTTGCGTCACCGAGGGCATGGCTGCAGCAGGGAAAAGCACAGAAACTTTTGCAAAACAGTTTGCCTGCAAGTAGCAGTTTAGATGCATCACTTCATCTGGGGCGACGTTCACATGAGCCATGCTTTCTCATTCAAAGAAACCTATTTTGTTGTTGAGGGTCAGCTTGCAAGTTGTTGCAACATTTCATTTATTTCTCGTTTATATTTATATTTCATTCATATTTATCAGATTTATATGCATCCCTCCAACGTAAGATCTCAGGAGACTAAAATACACGATAAAGGTAAAGGTAAAGGGACCCATGACCATTAGGTCCAGTCGTGGCCGACTCTGGGGTTGCAGCGCTCATCTCGCTTTATTGGCCAAGGGAGCCGGCGTACAGCTTCCGGGTCATGTGGCCAGCATGACTAAGCCACTTCTGGCAAACCAGAGCAGCGCACGGAAATGCCATTTACCTTCCCGCTGGAGCGGTACCTATTTATCTACTTGCACTTTGACGTGCTTTTGAACTGCTAGGTTGGCAGGAGCTGGGACCGAGCAATGGGAGCTCACTCCGTCATGGGGATTCAAACCACCAACCTTCTGATCGGCAAGTCCTAGGCTCTGTGGTTTAACCCACAGCATCACCCGCGTCCCGAAAATACAGGATAAAAACAAGTAAATGAGTAGAGCAAAACAGCAAAACAGTAATCCCTCTTCACACAGACACATTTAAAAGGGTGTAGAATATTAATCGGCCAAAGGCCTGGTTGAAAAGGAACGCTTTCGCCTGGCACCTAAAATATATACAGCGGTACCTCAGTTGTTGAACGTAATCCATTCTGGGAGACCATTCGACTTCCAAAACATTAGACAACTGAGGCGCAATGGGCGGTTGGGAAATTCCATTGAGAAAATGGAGAAACACGCCTCGGAAGCCGTTCAAGTTCTGAGGCGCGTTCGAAAGCGGAAGCATTCACTTCCGGGTTTTCGGCGTTTGGGTTCTGAATCATTTGGTTCCGAGGCACTTGAAAACCAAGGTTCCACTGTATAAAGAAGGCGCCTAGCGAACTACAGAGAGGGTCCGTTCTCGTGTTGCCACCCTCGGGACCTCACATGGAGGAGGCAAACGAAGAAGGGCCTCAGATGATGAATGCATCCCTTTATGGATTTGGTGAAGGGTCAAGATCAGCCTGGATTTGAAGCAAAGTCCCACTAGCCATGATAGCTATGATCCGCCTCCCAAGTTGGAGGTGTCAATGCTTCTAAATACTAGTTGCTGGAAACTGCAGGAAGGGAGCAGGCTCTTGTGAAGTGAAGGACACGAGTCAGGTCTTGGTCATCCGGTGAGCTGTGCATAAGCAAGCTGCCAGCTAGCTCTGCCGAGGCTCTTTTTATTAGCACAATATGCAAAACCAGTCAGATACATTTTGGACTGTGACCTTTACACATCTTCCAATCCCGAGATCGAGGGGTGGTGCAAAGTTATTTTGGCACCTGTTTCCACCGCGTCACTTTCCCCTTGCACAATGTTTAATCGAAAGAGACAAAGGTCACAGGGCATGGCAGACTACTAAGAGAGCAAAAGATTAGATAGAGGGCATGATGTTCAGACAGCTGTAGTTTGTCTGAGGTCAGAAGTGTGCTCCACACCCGAAGGTCACGCGTTTAGACAGCTGAGGCTTGTCTGCGCATGGAAGTGTGCACCGCACCCAGCGATCATTCCTTTACTCCTGTGCTTAGGTCCTTTTCCCATTAAGGCGCCTGGTTGGCCACTGTCTGAACAGCTGTTGCCTCCCCCCCCTTCCATTTCTTTCTTCTAAAGATGTGTTTTGTACTTCTGCAGATGCCAGGGCTTCTCTGAGGCTGTGACAGGGATAGCTCAGCTGGTAGTGGATGAGATTCTTAACCTCAGGGTTGTGGGTCTGAGCCCCACATTGGGCAAAAGATTCCTGCATTGCAGGGGGTTGGAATAGATGACCCTCGTGTTCCCTTGCCACTCTACAATTCAAGGATTTTAGGATGCTTTGGGAGGCAGGGATATCCCTAAGGCTGAGAGACAGAAGACCACAGAGCAAAAGGATTCCTAATGCCAGAGCCAAAACTTCCATGGATGTCTTCTCCAGAAGAACCAAATGTCTCCCATAGTACCTATTTGCTCCATTGGCACAGGGAATGCAGCAGGCCTGAGGCTATGTAATGGGTGAAAGGTGTTCTTTCTCAGGCCAGAGGGCTGGTCCTTTAATAATCAACGTTATTCACAAGGGTGTAGGGCCTGGAAAAGGTGGTCCGAGGCTGAAAAGGGTGCAATGTCCTTTCTACTTTTGCCGGAGCACGTTGCTCACCTGGAGCTCTCCATGGTCCTGAAACTCCTGATTTGCTTTGCCCCATCTGATCCAGCCAGGACAGGCCAGGATAGTATAACAACCCTACCTGGAGATGATGGGGATTGAACCCAGGACCATCAGCACACAAAGTACATGCTGTACCACTGAGCTGTGTCCCTTAATAACAAGAAAGCCAATTCTACAACAATTTACTGATCTTTATTTAATGGTACCCCTAAATTGGCACCTTAGTTGTCTCCTTCCCCAATCAGAAATATTTGTTCCTGTAGCTCTCTGGAAAGGTTTTTGTGAGACTGGAGCTGCATGAGGGAAGGTTTTGATTGAATTCCCACTTGGGCCATGTTACATTTCCATTTCTTCAAGAGGAGGCAAAGCTGTATTTGGTGGCTGAACATTCCTATACAGTGGTACCTTGGGTTACATACGCTTCAGGTTACATACTCTTCAGGTTACAGACTCTGCTAATAGCACCTCAGGTTAAGAACTTTGCTTCAGGATGAGAACAGAAATTGTGCTCTGGTGGCGCGGCGGCAGCAGGAGGCCCCATTAGCTAAAGTGGTACCTCAGGTTAAGAACAGTTTCAGGTTAAGAACGGGCCTCCAGAATGAATTAAGTTCTTAACCCAAGTTACCACTGTACTCATGTTTATCAGCATATGTTATCTCTGAAGAACTGTTGCATAGGAAGCTGCCATATTCCGAATCACAGAATCATAGCCGGGGTCAGCAAACTTTTTCAGCAGGGGGCCGGTCTACTGTCCCTCAGAACTTGTAGGGGGCCAGACTATTTTTTTTTGGGGGGGGGAATGAACAAATTCCTATTCCCCACAAATAACCCAGAGATGCATTTTAAATAAAATGACACATTCTACTCATTTAAAAACATGCTGATTTCCAGACCATCCGTGGGCCGGATAATAATAATAATAATAATAATAATAATAGTAATAATTTATACCCCACCCATCTGGCTGAGTTTCCCCAGCCACTCTGGGCGGCTCCCAAACGAGTGTTAAAAACGATACAGCTTTAAATATTTAAAACTTCCCTAAACAGGGCTGCCTTAGTTTGCCTTCCCATGAATCATAGAGTTGGGTCCAGACTATTGGTCAATCTAGCTCAGTAGTGTCTTCATTGACCGGAGACAGCTGTCCAGGATTTCAGGCAGGGTCCTCTCCCAGTCCTACCTGGAGATGCCAGGGATTGAACTTGTGACCTTCTGTGTACATGACTATATAAAAACATAATAATAGCCCTGCTGGATCAGTCCCAAGGTCCATCTGTAATGTATAGACACAGACAGCTTTGCCCTCAATGAATTTATCTATTCCTCTTTTAAAGCCTTCCAGGTTGGCAGCTATCACATAATCTGGTGTGAGTGAGTTCCACAGTTTAACAATATGCCATGTTTCCTTTGTCTGTCCTGGATGGTCCAACATTTCACTTCATTGGATGTCCCTTTGGGTTGTAAGGAGGGGGGCAGAAATCTCTCCCTGGCTTCACACCATGTATAATCTTATAAACCTCTGAATGCGAGATACCTTGGAATTCCTGTCATGGAACAGAAAAAAGTATTTTTTGGCACTAATCGGACTGAAGATATTATGAACTATTTGCTGTCCTGCCCTCTGTATTTGGAGTTCAGAGGGAAATTTCTGTCACCTGTTTTTCAGTTTAACTCAGGAAGTGGGAGGTTCAACTTCTAGCTGACAAACAATTGTACATTATGCATTCGGTAGCTAAAATTGTGCCAGCAGTGAAGAAGCTGTGTTCTAGCCATAGCAAGAACTGCAGTGTATTATATGTCTTAATCCAATGCTTTGTTACCCTTGGAAGATGATATATGGCTATTAATGGTTGCCTTGTGACGTTCCAAAACAAATTTCCCCTTTAATTTATGTATTGCTTTGGAAATTTGGGCTTTGGCTATGTACAGCAAAATTCACTGACTGACAAAACCTCTGTCATGGTCCCCCTTACTTAACTTTTTTTGGTAAATGGCAAGTAAGAGCATAAGGGATGCGGGTGGCACAGTGGTCTAAACCACAGAGCCTAGGACTTGCTGATCAGAAGCCCGACGGTTCGAATCCCCATGATGGAGTGAGCTCCTGTTGCTCGGTCCCTGCTTCTGCCAACCTAGCAGTTCGAAAGCACGTCAAAGTGCAAGTAGATAAATGGGTACCGCTCTGGCAGGAAGGTAAACGGCGTTTCCGTGCGCTGCTCTGGTTCGTCAGAAGCGGCTTAGTCATGCTGGCCACATGACCCGGAAGCTGTACGCCGGCTCCCTTGGCCAATAAAGAAAGATGAGCGCCGCAACCCCAGAGTCGGTCATGACTGGACCTAATGGTCAGGGGTCCCTTAACCTGACCAGGAGTCCCTTTACCCTTTACCTAAGTAAGAGCATAAAGAAGGCAGAGGGCCTTCTCAGTAGTGGCACCCGCCCTGTGGAACGCCCTCCCACCAGATGTCAAAGTGAACGACACTACCAGACTTTTAGAAGACATCTGAAGGCTGCCCTTTTTAGGGAAGCTTTTAATGTTTAATAGGTTATTGTATTTTAGTGTTCTGTTGGAAGCCACCCAGAGTGGCTGGGGAATAAATAAATATTATTATTATTATTATTATTATTATTATTATAGCCTAGGAAAGGCCTGCTGGATCAGGCCAATGGCCCATCTAGTCCAACATCCTGTTCTCATAGCAGCTGATGAGATGCCTGTGAGAAACCAGGGAGCAGGATCTGAGCAATAGAGCCCTCTTACTTCCTGTAGTTCCCAACCACTGGTATTCAGAAGCACTGCTGCCCCCAGCTGTGGAGGCAGAGAATAGCCAGTCATGGCGAGTAGCCATTGATAGCCCTCTCCTCCAGGAATTTGTCTAATCCTCAAATATTTGTTTCCTTTCCTTGGTACACAGTCTTTGGCTTCTCGGTGGAGAATACTGGACAAACAGAAGGAGGAGGGGAGCACTACACAAATTGGCAAAGAAAGGGTTACCCTTTTCTGCTGCAGCTCCTTCTCTCTCTCTCTCTCTCTCTCTCTTTTTTTTTGCCCAGTGAAATGTTTATCGACTTACAGGGAAGGTCTCTTTTCTTTCCATGAGTTAAGTCAGCCTGTGCTTTGTTTGATGCTGCCCATTTGACGAAAGCTTATCCCTGACCTTCTGCCAGAGAGACTGATGACACGGACAGTTTGCACTAACCTTGACATTCACGAGGGTAAATGACTTTTTCTTCCCCTCCCCCTCCCGCCCTCCGCACAAGTAGTTGGCAAACAAGTCAAGAGCTAATGAATCTGTACCTGAGAGAAACTGAAGAACCATTGTGCTTTTAAAGACGGAGGCTGGCGGGTCCTGGAGGGTCTGGAGAAATCCAATCCAAGCTTTGCTCTGCTTGCGTTTTGTTTTGTTCTTAATTTTTATGGGTTTGGGCACCTTAGGCTGGTAGGACCTAACTGGGACCTTGGCCAAGTTCACACCATGCATTTAAAGCACCTTAACCTGTCATGGCTTCCCCCAGAGGAATTCTGGGAGCTGTAGTTTGTCAAAGGTGCTGAGAGTTGTTAGGAAGAGGGCTCTCTTCCCTCCAAAGAGCTCCAGTTCCCACTGTGGTTTAACAATCAACCCCTCTTCACAAAAAAACCCCTCTGAGAATTGTAGCTATAAAACAGTGGGTGGCACTGTCATCTAAACATGAACTCTGGTTTCTGTCACAGTGTTCCATGATGGAAGCCAGAGCACTCAGAAATGCCATTTACCTTCCCACCGCCGGTACTTATTTATCTACTTGCGCTGGTATGCTTTCAAACTGCTAGGTTGGCAGAAGCTGGGACAGAGCAACGGGAGCTCACCCCATCACAGGGATTCGAACCGCTGACCTTCTGATCGGCAACCCCAAAAGGCTCAGTGGATATAATCATTCTCAACTACCTCCCTATAGCAGCAGGAAGGCCATGGGAAGGCATCAGGTTAAGACCAACCCTGTCACTAACACCAGGCCATTCTTGCGCCTTCTATCATCATAAGTGCAGCCCCCATGCTACGTGAGAGCCAGTGTGGTGTAGTGGTTAAGAGCGGTGGACTCGTAATCTGGTGAACCGGGTTCGCGTCTCCGCTCCTCCGCATGCAGCTGCTGGGTGACCTTGGGCTAGTCACACTTCTCTGAAGTCTCTCAGCCTCACTCACCTCACAGAGTGTTTGTTGTGGGGGAGGAAGGGAAAGGAGAATGTTAGCTGCTTTGAGACTCCTTCGGGTAGTGATAAAGCGGGATATCAAATCCACACTCTTCTTCTTCTTCATGCCCACTTCACAAATCAAGCCCACTTCACAGGGAGCTCTGAGAATCATAGCTTTGAGAGAGGAATGGGGTCACCTAAGAATACTAGAATTATTTGGGGGAAGCCATGGCTCTTTAAAGTAGTACCACATTCCTTTGCACCTGTGGTGTGAATGTAGCCTGTCTGAAAAGTAAAGGAAGCTCTACAGCCAATAGTGTGTGCATGTGTATCTCTGTGCATCTTGAAGACAGACAAAGATGATATTACCCCTTTGAACCTCAGGTACGCTTAAAAAAACAAAACAAAAAATAATCATTGATCATATGACTGATTCATAGGATCGCCCCAACTCCCTCGAATGTTATTTTATAAAAATAAATGGGGAGCTGGGCACATGGAGATGTTTACAGTAAGATCCAAGATTACCCAAAAAACCAAGCTGATATTTCTGATAAGAAAGAGGATTACATCCGTGCAATGCTATTTAAATGTCTCTAAGTGAATACTGTACAAGACTCCATGACCTTCCGATAGCTGGCTCCAGATTCTGCGGAGATCTTCCACGCCATGCCCGTCGTATCACGCACAAATGAGAAGCAGCCCCGGTGACTGTTAAGGATAAACAGGGACGTCGCTTTGTATGTATGTGGTTGGGGCATGGGCTGCGTGGAGGGGTTTTTTTTTGCATTTAGTGATCAAATGCCTCTGCATCCCTTGAACTGTCAGAACATGAAATGCGGAAGCAGCTCAAAGGGAAGGGACAGACCTCTTTGCGCCAAGAACGGCGGGCGCCCCTGGGTGACGCCTGTCAGGAGCGAGTTGAAGGCAGATCCGTCTGTAACCTTGTGAAAGTCTAGCGAGGGGGAGTGATGGTGTTGCTAGT